GGGTAGAAGAAATTGAAGAGGAGTTGGAAGGAGGAGTGGAAATAGGGGGGATAGGAGTTGAAATGGGAGGGAGGACGTTTGAAGGTCCGGGAATAGGAGAAGAAGAAGCAGAAGGAGTAGGGGTAGGGGTAAACTTAGGAATTGAAAGAGGTAGGAGAAAGGTTAGGAGAATGATTGAGAAAACCTGAAGAGGGACTACCTACGGAAGAAGAAGAAGGAGAAGAAGAGGAAGAATAAACTGAACAAGGGGGGAAGAGGAAGAAGAAGGAACAGCTGTAGAAGAATGGGGAAGGGAAGAAGATACAGCCGTTGAAGGGATAGAAGAAGGAACTAAAGGGGGATAGAAGTAGAAGTTGAAACTAAACGTCGCCTTGGCGCGACAATCGCATGATTAACACCTTGTACGCGCACTTTTCGTGTTCTTTGTCCTTTTTAAATTTTTTTTTTAAATATAATACAAACATTATACCCACCAAAAAATAAAGAAAGTAAAGAAAGGTGGAAAAGATGAAAGGAAGTTTGCGAGATCCTTTATTTATTTTCCAAGATGGCAGATGAACAATCATCGTTACATCATTCGTAAATAAAATGAGTCATATCCTAATTACTTAAAATTTAATGGTTTAATGTAAAAGAAAATCAGAATGTAGAAATTTTTTTTTTTTTTTTTTTATTATCATATATCATATATTTATACAAATATTAATTTTAATAAATGATTCTATTCCCAACTAAATTTTCATTTATAATTATTCTCTTCACCATTTGTTAAAAACCTCGAATAACTTATAATTACGGTGACTTGGGAATGGCTACGGTGTCGCGACAAGCTACGAATGGCATATTTCGCCCATTCAGTTTGAATCACGCAATAACATTATAGTTTACAAATCTCTAATGCGTATTTTTATTTCAAATAAGTCTAACCAAAAGCTATCATGTGTTCGTTATCGATTTGTAAATTATGATAAAAGAATCGAGCTTGAGAAGGTCAGTAATATAATTTTTGTGATTTTAAATATTTCAAAAAACTGACTAAACATTTTTAAGCGGTTAAAACATGCCAAAAGTACAATATGTGCCGTAAATGAAGAAACGACAGAAAGTTCGTCCTTTGAAACCGAGTTGTTGTTAAAACGTAAATGACAAGAAGATACGAATACGTGTTTGATTAGGGAAAACTCGCTTTTAAACACCAGAATTTATAATTTTTTTTATAGAAACCCGGAACAAATATTGCATTTCAGAAATGGTTACAGATCAGAACCCATGGAACGGAGATGGAAGAAATTTTGATAATGATTCGACATTCTATAATGAGAAATCTCTTTTCATTCCTTTTATGTACATCTTTGAGACTCACGATCATCTACAAAGGAGCTAGAAATATTCGGACAAATTTGATTTCAAGTTCATCTTTAACATTAGCACAATTAGCCAATGTTCTGAAACTTAGCCGACGAAGTTCTAAAGATTCATCGGACAAGTGTCCTGTCGGAGGAAAAAAACTGATCTATAATGGTGTAAACATATTGTGTTTTGCATATTCAAGATGAAGAATATGAAGGAAGCCTAGGTGGCGATGAGTCCAATTAGTGTTCATGTAATCAACTTTATTGCACACAATTATCGAAAATCAACTTCTAGACCAATAATAGTGACGATGTTTAATTTGATAGCGAGAAAGAAATTGATAAATTTATCGTGGATTATGAAATAGAATTCCGAGTTATTTGGATAAGTTTTACGAAATGGATTATTTAAAGTCTTTACCGCGTCAAATAAATTTATCTAAGTACTATACAATCTATTTCTTTTGCATAAGAATGACTTTGTAGTTCAAATTTTGTCAGAAGGTGAATTAATTATTTATGTTTGGATACCATTATTGAGGAATGCGTTTCTCGTAAAGAATGAAATCCTAGCTCAGGAGGTTGGCGTTCTAAACACGCGAGGTAAAAGAATAGGGATCAACCAAAGCTTGAATATTTTTCAAAAGTTATATTAACAATTTTTTGATATTACCCTCCTACTGCAAAAGCAAAATTCACAGAGATTTAGACTTATATTCTTCGATCGAAGGTTGTGTCAACGGTATTTGTATCAAAACTCTTTGAATGTACTTACAATGGACTTAAAAGAAGTGGAACTGTAGAAGGGTTTAAAACAAGTAGTAGCTGTAAAGATGTAAGGAATACAATGTAATTCTATAGTGCATTCATAAACGTACAGCATATCACACGAGGTTCCAAAAAAAGACGATTCTTCATCACATAATCGATAATACACTTACAGTACATCAATGTCATTAATTAATTTAAAAGGGACTTTACATAATATTCAAAGTGTTGAAATGGGTCATGGGGCTTTCGTTTCTTATACAGTAACTATTACATGTTAGAATTTTTAACTTGTCAATGTTGGGTCGACATAATGCGCACATAAATTTATTACTAAAATGCCTTAATCACTTTTTCCTTTTCGCTATATATCACACCACAAATGAATCCGATATTCTAGTGTTTAATCTTGATATCACTTAAAATCGTTTAATTTGATAGGTCCAATATAGGGATTGGAATCGATTCAAAAAAGTAGAAACGATTTTATTTTTCAAAAGCAGGTAGTCGTCCTTTATTGATATAGCAAATTTAGCATTCTTTTTTTTTATAATACTTTTCGGATTTGATTGTTTGAATTACGGTGATGTGTTTTTTTTTTTGTTTTATTTTGTTATTTTTTAAATTTTTTTTATAAAAAATTTTTATATTAATTATTAGGATACTTGAATGAACGCGTATGTTTAGTTTAATTTTTAATTTTATGTAAAAATTATTATTTATAATTATAATTTTTAGGTTCTTTAGTTTGGAAGTACTGTACATATGAGCTTTTATAATTTCATTTTGGTTTTTATATATTTTTAATGTTTTTCCATTTTTTTTATCATTCAATTTATTATTTGTTTTTTCTCGAATCTAATTAATACACAAAAAAAAACGATAATATAATGCATTCTATTATATCGCACTTACTACTCTTATGAATAATATGTTCGAATTTTTTAATTTAATTTTCGATTAATTCGACTTTGGTAGAATCAATTCTAATTCCTAATCCCATTGAACATCATTGAATATATGGATTTTTCTTTAATTCTACAAGTTTGTTTCAAATAAAACTATTTACCAAATAAGATGTTATCGGACGAAATCAGTATGTTTATTGAAGTTTACAGTAATTCAATGGTACAGGATAAAAAGCCAAATATCAAAACTTGTGATGTAGATCGGATATCGAACATTTTCAAGCCGAAACCTCAGATGATGAAATTAATTGATTGATTGGGATATAGTTAGATACATTGTGCAACAGATAAAAGGAGTAAAGTATTGAAGCTCCATAATATTCTTTAATCGCACGACGGAATATGCATTTAAAGGATATTTGTCTGAGCACTAAAGCTGTTGCTCAAAGTATGTTTCTTTAGGGAAAGAGAATCTTACTCTCGTATATTGACTTTAACACATAGACTCGAAAGTAGAAGGCTTCATTCCATTTCGTCTTCATCATCTAAATTATTAAGATCAGTAAAGTTTCAAATTTATTTCGTTTGGCATCTTATAATGAAATCCTAATAAAAAACAATATACTTATCTTACGTTATCATTAATCATTATAAGTAGTCAAGATTTGTGTCTTGGAAGACAAATAAACTATTAGCAAGGAAATCACATTAAAAATTGCAGTTTTCCTTCGATATATCGAATTCTTGATATAAATAATTTGCCATCAAGTGTTATTGAATTAATCAAATCCTCTCGTTCTACAATCATGTTCTTCAAATTCTTTGTTGTAAGAAGGGACAACTTCACGAAACCAGAGTTTACTGTAATTGGGTTACTAGGCTCTATTTATATGAATTAATGAAAATATGATCCAACAAAACATTATTTTGTTTCATGTTGAAATGTTTGATTAGAATCTAGTAGTAGTCCTAATGAGCTCGATCCGATGGTGAATTTAGCCAATAGAATTGAGCCGAAAAGTATCATGTGATCTTCATCATAACAAACTTTAAAAGCCCCCTTTTTGCATGAAATCAAAAATTTTTTACTTCTTCCAACTTCCCTTGGACTGGAAGCTTCAACACCGAAGGTATATTTTCTAATAACTTCCTTATATTTTTGTATTTTTTTTATTTCTATTTTTTAAGTAAAAGGTTTATATTAAAACTTGCACTTTGTTTTTTTTATACACAATATAAAATGACTGACGACGACTGTTTATCCTGAAGATTTTCGAGTTCCTTTTCTTTGGTTCA